GAATTCTGGACAGGCAGTTGGCAGGAGGGAATCCCTTTACGAATTTTCATCAAGACCCACTGAGCTGAAATATGTATCGGCTGCCTCATGGGTGGGTTCTGGATCAGCCCGGGGACACTTCATTGTTTTATAAACCACCAGGTCAAGTGTTTCTCTACACAGGCTCAGCTATCTGGGTAAGAAGTTGCCATGAGAATTGCATGCTCAGGTAACACACATTCACTGAAAGAGCCATGAAGATGTGTTACCAGAGATGTACCTAACTTTCAGTACAGCTGTAAGTGGAAAACCAGATTTTAACAAATATATTAAAATATGGAGTACTTTTTTATAAAGGATCAGTAGTTGCCGTCCTCTAAATAGCTTTAATTCAACACTGATTTTTCCAAATTCTACTTAGGCACAGTATTTTCCAAACAAAAGATTTAAATAAGAGGAGACTGGTAAATATTTTTTTTAGTCCTGCATTCAAAACACTGAGGTGGTCCCACAAGCAAAAGACCTCATCAACTTTTTCTTTCAATAGATGGTTTTACCAGAATATTATATTTAGCCTTATTTCTTATATTTTTATCAATGTTGCTAGAATTCCATTTCCTATAAGCCTGCAGTAAAATTCATTTTCCCAGTTGAAAATTCAAGCAAACCAAGAAGCAAACTTGGCAATGTAGTATGTCCCCCCTCACCATACAGATTGCTTTATAAATGAGGAACTATTAAAAAGGACCAGGTCTAAGGTTAATGAGACACTCATTAAAGAGAGAGAATTGTAGAAGCTGATAGTGCTCTGTGTGTGTATTGAAGGAGAGGCTATTGTTATAGGATGTTTGCTGTGCTGTTATCGTAAACCACATGACAGATGGGTCAAGTGCTGATTACAGTATTCTAACATTTGGAATAGCAAGTAACATATTTGATAAGCTGGCAAGTTTTTATATATGATTCAACCCACAATATAAAAGCCACGAGAATTCCAAATTGAAAATAATTAAATGAGCTGGAAACAATCAGATACCACACATTTTTCCCCCAAATGACAGATTTTGACATGTTGAAATTCCACAAAGGGAGCAAGAATATTCCCTAGCTCACTTGAACTAATAATGGCCCTTCATCTGCTTTTGTAAAGCAATTAATTCCTGCCTTCTCACAGTGTTGGAGAGAACAGTAAACGTTTTTAGGCACCTTAGGCTTTACAGAGATCTGTCCACGCACTGTTTTATTTGCTCTTATCATCAGCCCCGCAAGGTATGTAAAGAAAGATACTAATATTCTCGCTTCATAGCTGAGGAACTGGAAGCACAGAGAGGTTTAAGGAGAAGGTGGAAGGTTACATGAGAAAGTTAAGTAGCATATTGAGGGTGAGAAGCCAGATCTTCCAGCTATGAATCCGTCAAGTCTGATCACTGGGAAGAGGAAGCAGCTATTCACATAGAGGCGTTCTTCATTGAACAAAAGTGTATCTTCTTTCTGTCAATGATGCTGCCATCATCATTCATGTGTATCCATCTGGAGAAAGGCATCCAGTGTTTGCGTTCAGCCTCTGAGTGTCTCAGTAGGGCAGTATGGGTGACGCTGGTAAGAGTCCCGTCCCTTGTCACACAATGTCACACCTCTGTAATACTGCAGTAACTCCAGGAAAGCAGCAGTCCTCCGTCTGTGTTCTATCATTGTTGCTTGTTTGGTTTTTCTTTTCAGACTTTATCATCTTCCTGGTCACCTTTGTGAAAGTCACGTTGTCTCTTTCCTTTTTTTACTGTCTCTCCTCACCTCCCTGAGCAGCTCCCCCGCCGCCTCCTGGGCCTCCTCCACCCACCCAAAAGCAGACCAGCATGTTATATCAGAGGCTCAAAGGCATGCCTAGGCCAAAACCAAGTACTGTAAACTTCTACCATTACTTTATTCAGCAGCTTTTTAGTTTAGTTTGCTTTTCTGTTCATTTTTCTTCTTGAAATTTTGTTTCGGTTTGGAACACTAAGCTGAGGCTCAGGCTCTCAAGTTTGACACTGTAGGTTTTGAGACAGTCGAAAGAGAGCATTTATTTCCAAATGTCCACATTTTTTTGTCTAGCTATGTCTGACATATGCAACATTTTCAAATCTCAATGTCAGCACAAAATAACATTGTTGTTGCATAACATTTTGCATGACGATTTTTTTTATATGTTATGAGCTTCAGTTCTGTTGTATGAAATGTTTACTAAGTATATGGTAGTTACAGCTCCCCTTCTTCAGTGCTCCAGCTAGTACAAGATTGGGTGATAGTGATGTTGCAATCCATTTCAAGACAGCAGAAGTGCCAAAAAAAAATATCATGTCTAAGCACAAATTTCTTCTTGACCTCTGATGGGGGGAGCGGGGGGAGGGAGGACGTGCTAGAGGATTTTGCACAATATTTTCTTTAAAGACAACATCTTAGAGAAGTTGTTTTTAGCACCATTTTTGCCACTTAGCTAGTCAGTTAGATATGCAAATGAAGAAGAAAACAGCGTCATGTCTCAATAAAGTGGCTTGATCTATAGATAATGGTATTGCAGCTAATTAATAGTAAATGGAAGTCTGCTACATGGGTTAATTGGAAGATCAAGCATCCTAGATTAAAGGATCCTAAACCTGCTTATTTTAATGGTTGCATGTTAAAGTAAAATTGCAAAAGGTTTTATTAAACATACTGTTTGTATATATACATCAGGCATACACATATCTGTGTACATGTGCGCACACTTAGAATGGTTGCATGCACATGTACACTTTATGTGTATCTACCAATATATATTGTAGTCAGTCTAAGAGTACTGCATATCAAAACAAATCTTCAGGTGGTCCTAGCTTAAGCATCTTGGATTTCTCCAAACATAAAAATCATTCACAGTCTTTAAATGAAAATACATAAAAATATTGGTGGGAATTACTTCATGTCTATATCATATGTCATGTACAGCTAGAACTCCCCTAGATTTGGTGAGTATTCCATGCAAAGGACAATGTTCTCGCCTCATAGCAAGAATGTTCTTTATTCTTAAAGCAAGAGATTTCAAAGATGTGCCCCAAGTGGGATTTCCTGCAGATTTGTATTAATGTGCAGGCTTGTCTGGTTACTAGAAAATGTATGTAAGTGTGTGATGTGTGTATGTGGGTGTATGTGTCAAATGGGTAATAAGCATAGGATGAGGAATTTGCAAATTGATGGGTAAATGTGAATACCAACTAATAAAAAATAGTAGCTTATGCATATTTACTATCAAAATGCAAATACCTCATTCTACACATATTACTCAAACATATATACACAGTATGTTTGTAGAAATGCCTGAAAGTCTACTGATGAAATTATGATAGCCCATTTATGAAACTATACACAGGCCAGGTGCCCCAAAAGCGTAGAAGTCAATCTTGTCACTCATTCTCTCTCCACATATTTATTGCTCCGGACCAGGCAATGAGCTATCGACCCTAAACTCTGCACATTTCCTTCCTCTGAGTGTTGGATATTCCCCACCTGATCTGTATATTTATGTTCCCCGCCACTCCCCCCTTCATGCCCTAACCATATCCAGCCACATTTCCACCTGTACACAGTAGAGACAAGGGAGCAATCCATCGGCCTGAATCCAGAAAGCCCACTTTCACACCAGTCATTGGACCTTGTTGGACTGAAATTTTCAGTACTTTGACAGTCTTACCCAACCCCATTTACCATTCTTAGTTTCCATTGGCTGAGACACTCTTTTTGCATAGTGCTTCACTGAATTTGTTTTTCATTATTAAATCCCAGATTACTAATCATCTGACATGTTCATCACCTGTCTAACAAATGTACAAAAGAAAATTATGTGGCTCTCTTAAATTTCTTTTGTAAATCAGCAGTCACCCATGACTTTGTTTAAACCCCACCCACCCCAAGACAACAACAACACAAACAACAACAAAACCTTCTTGTCAAGTATTGAGTATTTCCTTTAGCTAGGAAAATCCTGAAGCCAAGATATATCTGCTTTAGATGAAGAGATAAAAATAAGTTTTGGCAGTCTTTTTGTGCACATATATACCTGCCCATGGAATCACACTAACAGATCCTTATTGTCATTACACTCTATGTTCCAAAGGACTCTGAGGCTTCAAAGTTTGAAGGTTTCAACATGAAATAGAAGATCCCCTGTGAGTACAGACTGGTTAAATTGAAGCAATTTCATTGGCCAAGAAAATCTTTATATTTTAAATATTACTGTTTTTCCCCAGGAGAAAAGTTTTTAATTTTTGGTAACATAATGACCTTACCAAACATTCATGAATTCAGCTCTACAAAAGATTCAGCATCAACCAGGTCAAGTTTGTGGCTATCAACACTATCAAAACTAAAAACAAAGAAACAGTTTTGAGTACATTGTTGCCACCCACCTGATAAAATTTCAGTTGTACCAACAGGTGGCACAAACTCACACCAGTTCATCCTGTAATCTACCCCCAACACCCTTTTAATGATTCTATCCTGCCTTCTACCTAATGGCCCAGGAATGTCTCTTAACTTTCAGTCTCCTCCTTGGACAACTTAAAACAGCCAGACCTTTGATTCTGTTTGTTCAAAATGAACATTCCAGTACCTGTTAAACGTGCAGACCTGTAATGAAAAACAATGCTGTAGTATCAAATGTTCAGGGATAAATGCAGGAAACAAATGTCACAGCAATCAAGAGTAAGCTTCCCACTTCAGGTAGCATGAACGCAGTCTAGAGGGTGATCTAAGATAGTACATTTATGCTGTCTTTAAAGAACATGTGTACAAAATGTCACTAAATTTGAAATGGGCTGTCATAAACTTAAGGTAGCTTAATATGCAAATTTGAAGCTGGAGCACTGCTTTTTCTTAATATGTATTCTAAGGACGATGGTGATAATAACAAAATGGCTTTATGGTTTGCTCACTACTAATTACGTGGCACTTAACATCTGCATGAAACTTTAAAAAAAATTGGTAACTATTTGACATTTCTTATCCACTAGTTCTAACGGCCACAAAACTAGCCTGAGGCTTTCGCTGAATTTTAACACAAATTCTTGCACTACAGAAAATGTAGGCCGGTTAATCACTCCTGCCAAAAAGCTGGAAGACACAATCCGCCTTGCTGAGCTAGTCATTGAGGTTCTCCAACAGAATGAGGAGCACCACGCAGAGGTGAGCAGGCATGGCGGGAAAATGTCTCTTTGGGTGTCCCTTAGCTGGAAAGTGCAGAACTGATCCTACCAGCGACATGAACAAGATTCCTTAACACCCATTTTCTTTTAACTGGCCTTGCAAACAGAAGGAAAGGGGAAGTGTTGCAAGGAGAAGCCTTTGGAAGGTTGTGTAAAACAAGCAAAAAGTGGTTGCATGTTGTCCATTTCAGCTTAAGTTTTCAGATGTTTTAGCAAGAAGCAAAAGAGGTGAGTATATTTTAAAGATAATTTATTCAAGCAGCATATGGTTATTGTCCAGAACACACAATATACTTTTTGGTCTTCTGTGGTTGTCGTTGTTGCTACCACTGTTGTTTTTATTTATTTTATTTGGTGTGTGGATCACAGGCCATGTTTTTGAATTTATCTCTGTAATTTACTCTCTTCTTGCACTAGAGTCTTCATTTGTTAATCTCGGATGACCTAGGTTGCTAAACACAGTGACGGAAGCAAATTATTCTGTGTTGTTCAACCTGTCAATTCGCCAACATACATCTAATAGATAGATACAGCTTTCTGTCTTTTTTTTTTTTTTTTTTACGAACCACTGTCAAAAATGATCATTTTGATAATCATTGTAAACTAAGGGATTTCAAGGCTAACTAAATCCCAAACCTGTAGGGACTTAAACAACACAACCCTTAAAAAAAAAAAAAGATTCCAAGATTCCATTATGGTCAAACTATTTCATCAGCTCTTGTTTCAAAACTGAGATTTAAAATCATTGCTCTTAAAATAACCTTTTTGAAAATTGCACTAATTTTCACTCTTCCTCTCCAGTTAATTCTACAGCTAAAGGGGAAACAAGGCCTTCCATAAAAGCAATTTCTCAAGCACTTAAAATGATCATTCCCATGATAAATGAAAATTGACAGTATAGTTAAATAATATAAAATACACCATAAATCCAACCGTCCCGACTAATGCCTGATTGCATATTTAAATTTCCTCCCTGTTTTTCTACTGTTCCACTCAATCATGGCTGATCGTGGCAGGGGAAAGAGGTATGTGACTAAACCGAATGAGCCAGCCACCTGCTGTCATAGTCTGTGCATGCCCTTCCAGTACCATGTCTTCTACTGGGACTTTTCCTGGGTGCTCCTGCTTTCTAACACTGACCCAAGGAATGTAACAGCAACTTCCAGTGGACTGCTTGTGAAATGGTGGCCCTCCACGGCAGGGTAAATGTGGGGGTTCTCTTGTGCGTGCATGAAGCGATTGATATACCTAACAACGACGGCAGTTACATCCCGACACGCGCCTCCCACCTGCCTGGATTCTGTCCTTAGCCTGTCTCAGTTTCCTATGTCCGTCTGTACTTCCCTTTCTCACAGCAGATGAGTACCAACCGTAGTAACCCGTAGCTGGCCAGAGTGATACTAATCTTCCTCTACGACTGTCTGTATGTGAACCATATATACAGTATTTATATATAGAGAGAGTGCCAAAGAATCATGATTTCCCCGAAATTCCTCATAAGAATGGGGTGAAGACCCCTTGAGGTGAGTGTAACTATCTCCAAAGCACCCAGCAGTACACGGCCAGGAATGAGAAGAAGGGCCAAATCAACACCCTCCAAACATGGAAACCCTAGGACATGCCTCCAGACATATAAAATTAAGTTGGGCTAGAATTTTTTTTGATTCCATCCTCTAGGACATCCTTTTCAGATTGGGGGCCCTTCAGGCTTAAGTGACGGTAAGTATGTTCTTTCTGGGTGCCCACCAGATCATCTCCAGAGGCCCTACCCTGATCAGGACGTTGAGGCTTTTCCCACGATGTTGAATGAAATCTACACATTTCTGAAGACATGGATACGAAGAAGATCATTTTCCTCAGTCACAGCTGTGTTGCTGTGCTTTTAAGTAAAAGAAGAAAAATGACACATGCTTGATTTGTAATCACATTATTCTCTGAGGCTGCTACAGGCTAAGGAAGGATGGATATTTTCCATACCTCCAAAGAGGTACCAAAGGGAAGTTGATACTCCAAAGAAGATTTTTTTCTTTTTTTTTTAAGATTTTTATTTATTTATTTGACAGAGAGAGACACAGCGAGAGAGGGAACACAAGCAGGGGGAGTGGGAGAGGGGGAAGCAGGCTTCCCACTGAGCAGGGACCCTGATGCGGGGCTCGATCCCAGGACCCTGGAATCATGACCTGAGCTGAAGGCAGACGCTTAACAACTGAGCCATCCAGGCGCCCCGATATTTTTTTTTTCTTTTCCAAAAAGCACTTCTTTCAGTAAGTGCTAATCATCATCCTAAACTGCCCTAATAACCATCATCATAAAAATATTTTAATCTTACACAGTCAAAAGCCATTCAGGGTAAATACATAGAGTAGAAATAAATTCAATTCCATTTTCATTTGTTAACTTGGGGAGTTACAACTAAAAACTTCAGCATACTTTGGAATGTGGAGACTCGGTTTGGTTTTAGGTAAATGTACAAGATTATTTCCTGAACTAATAATTTCATCCAATCACAAAAATTTCAATCAGCAATCAAAAGCTACCTATCTGCTGAGCACTGAGGCTGCTACCTCAGTGCTTTTTGGAAGGACAAGGAGACATAAGGTAGTCTTAGCCTTCAAACGGTACAGTGCAGATTGGCCAATAGCTTGGGTTCTGTGCCAGAGAAGCTTGAGTTTTAATTCCAGCTTTACCTCCTCATTGCTCTGTGATCTCAACCTGGTTACTTAACCTGTCTAGTCCTGTAAATGGGAGGTAACAACAGAATCTACCTCAGATGGTCGTTGTTGGGATGGAAAGTGACATTAAGCAAAGCATCTGGTGTTTTGCCTGGCATATAGTAAGTTCTCAACAAAGCTTGGCTGTTATATTATTAAGGACAAATTGCTAAAGAAGCAAAATATATGAATATGTGATCATGAAAAGGACAAAACCTATGTGGAAAGTACCAACTGAGTGGTACAAACAGAATATGTTGAGAGAAGAGTAGGCTCATTGCAAGGCGGAGTGGTCCAGAAAGTTAGCACCCTTTGTTCTTAGCATTCACTTACAGCTTGCACTCACGTGGAAAGGTCTTAAAAATGGCTGATGCCACGGTCTCGCCCCAGCTCAATTAATCAGAATCTCATGGGGAGGGACCGACTATCAGTAATTTTTAAAAGCTGCCCATCTGATTTCAGGGGATACCTGGGTCAAGAAAAGCCCCTGGGCTATGGTTAAAGAAGTGGAATTTGCCCTGGTACAATTAAGATGAGGTTTTGCTGCCCAGAGAATGAATTATGAAGATTTTTTTCCACTGACCAGTACTCAACTGTATATTCTGAGTGCTCAATGAACTCTAGAAAATCACTCAATCCTAAGCATGGATCTTGGCTATAGATCCATGCTGTTCGGTGGCACCGCACAAATGAAATAGACAAGTAGACTTGCCTCCCCCACCAAGAAAACAATAATCCTTAGAACCATGTTTAATTCCAATACAAAGTAATTAAATGCTCCAAGAGAAAATACGCTCATCAGCTAGAAATGCATCACACATACACCCAGGCATGATACAGTAGCAGTTCTCTTATTTACCTCTTAATTTCAGCTTAATTCTGCTCTCAGAGCCGAAAAAGTTATTCACACACGCGTGCGCACACACACAAATTATGCCTTCATGTATCATTGCTCCACCTTCCCAATCTCTCTCTCTATGTATACGTATGTATATGTATATATGTATTGTGGTATACAGAGGGGTACATATATACATGTAGTTTGTGTACAAAATATACAATGTGTTCAGTGTGGTGGACTGTATTCCTAAAGCATACATCTTTGCCTTTAAATAATGAAACACACCAGGTAAGTGTTTAGAAGCCAAAGTACATCTCCTTATTGTCTTCGGAAAAGATTTCCAAAGACTTTAGATGCCTACAAACTTTGAGTTAACTCATGTACAAAAATAGCATTCACCTGTATGAGCAAGCATAAAATAAATATAGTTGTTGGGTCTGGATGTTTTGTTTGTTTTGTTTTGTTTTAATTTTAAAGCTTGCCTTGCCCCAACCCAGTCACACAGATTCTGTTCATTTGATTGAAATTATGATAATGGCTTTTTGGTGTTTTTGTTTGTTTGTTTGTTTGTTTGTTTTACCATTGCCAGAATCTTTTTCTCCTTCTCAGAGAGTCAGGTTTGATGATGAAGTTCTGGAGGAATGACCTTGGGTGTACAGAAATAGATTTGGTCTTCATTTCTCCTACAACTACTATATTTAAATTATCTTCATTCTAGAATCCTAAGTTTCTCTGCCAGACTTCAAAAGTGATAATTCACAACAGAGTAGTCATTGTTCTTTGTAGGGCTGTCTGTCTACATGATGATTAATGCAACAACTATAGGTAATTGTTCAATTTTTTTAAATTCCAGTGAAGGACTAAGTTCTCGATAGATAGTAGAAGTGGGTGCTTCTTAGGGCCTCTGGTTTGCAACTTTTAAATAAACGTGGTAAGAACCAGGTATGAGGTTGGGCTAAGACATTTTTAATTTCAGGCATTTAGGATTGGTTTTTTGTTCTGTGTTTTGTTTTTGCTTTTTTCCTGTCATCCTAGAGCAAAATCGTGTCTGGGAAGGCAACTCAGTCTCCCTAGTAACTGTTTACTTGGACTCACCCTGAAGATGTAAAATTAATCAAATAACTAAAGAATGAGTACCAGCCAACATTTGGTGTGCCTTTGTGGATTTTGCAAATATCCTGCATCAGGATTGATGAGAGTCATCCCCCCATATAGGGTTGGGGGTGGGAGTGGGACTCCAGCAAGTTCCAATGTTTAGAAAGTCTCTGCCTAAAAGACAGGTGGCTGGAAGAGCTCTGGGAGTGGAGTGGAGGATTTCTTCCTCTGCCGGATTTAGTCAGGTAGTCAGGGGAGCTAGCCCCAAGCCCCAGGGCTCTCACACCGAGTTAGTAAAACTACAATAAAACCTCATCAATTCAGACACAAATGCTAGTGACAATTCAACTGCAGATGCAGCTCTTATAATTTTTCTTAAGTAGAATGTTTGACGTGATCTCAACTCTCTCTGGAAATTCTAAAGGCTCGCTCATAAATTTCATATCAGGACCTCTGAAGTTAAAATTTCTGTCTCTTTGACTTCACTTTATAGGTCAATTTGTCTACAATTATTAGAATTTTTTTAAATTTCTACATTTATGATACATCAATATGGTAACCAGCAAATACCTTTTACTTTGGTGCCCAATTATAGACTGCATTTGAAAGCAGTGAAATGATACCTCTTTTTAGAAAACCCCATAAGTTAGCTTTTTTGCTGACAGATGAGCATTTCTCTTCTCTCATTCTCTGAATCAGTGAGGTTTTACTGTAAATTAAAATGGAAACAGCAGGTGTCTATTTCCAGCCAAGCTGACCTTGCAGAATGGTCCATGACTTGATTTTTTCCATTTAATTTGCACACCAGCCACATGTTGATAAAGGAGAAGTAAGTAAAATGAAATCTCATGAAAGAAGAGAGGTGGACCCCTATTCTGCCTCCTAGTGGCTGTTAGAATATCCCCAAATAACTAATAAATCACACAAGAGCTTGGCCATTGAACAAACTCTTTCATTTATGGAATTATTTCCATAATCATCTTTCATGTTTCCAAATGCCTTCCCATCTTTTTTTCGGTGAATGCTCCGGAAAGTGTTTCCAATGTAAATACTTTACGGCATTGGGTGGGGAGGTGGGGACAAGAAGGGGCTGGCAATTTGTTTTTGTTTCTCTGCTCTCTTTGAAATCAGTAAAAAAAGGGGGGGCCTGTTGACACTGTCACTCATTCTGCATGCTCCCTGCCAGAAATGATTAGTCACCATGCATGCATGCCTTTGAATGGCATTCACATCTGGCCCAGTCCGATGTGAATGTTGCCCCTGAGACCCTGCACAATGATTTCCAAGGACCCACGTGCATGAAAATGAGTTACTTCACTGATATTTTTTGGTTTTCAATGTACATATGTGTCCAACCCCCAGAAAAGTAAGTCCTAATCTTACTGAGTGTTTCCTAGCTTACACCTGATCTTTCCTACAGACAGGATGCAAAACCAGAGGCTCCCCACTTAAAGAGATTTTGACTCAAACGTTTGGTGACCTGGTATGAAATAGGAGTAACATGACCAATGCATAGAGAAATATGAGTTGCTGAGCTTGTATGAGACCATAGACAATGAAGCCCAGATATGTAGATATAAGTGAACCCTAACTGCAAATTTTCAAGTTAGACCAGCAGAAAACCCATAAACACAGTGAAGAAACTCCCAAATTCGAATACCTTAGAGCAAGAGCTAGCCAACAATAATGACAAAGAGCATGACTCCAAACCTACTGGATTATTGTAAATTGAACAGAAGTTCCACGTCTGTCCTTTCTACAGCTGCATCCTCGACCAGCAGGTCAGAATAAAGACTTTCTGAGGCAGGCCTGGAATGATGAAAAGGCGTGGCCTTGGGACGCTGAGAGGCCCCATTGTATCAAAAATGCTGTTCTTTTTACAATAAAATTACCAAACCCTGCTGATGCACAGTTAATCTTGACCAGTGAGGGCTTGACTTCACATCTTAGGTCGGAGAGAGAAGCTCATCGCCTCTTTGTCTGTTGTTTTTCTGCCAAATTTCAAAGGCCTTCGCGTGGTGGTCAGACTTGATGGTGGAGCATGCCGAGACGTTCCTGTCACTTTTTGCAGTGGACATGGATGCAGCATTAGAGGTTCAGCCCCCAGACACGTGGGACAGTTTTCCACTGTTTCAACTGCTGAATGATTTTCTCCGTACCGACTGTATGTACTATCTTTGACTGGTTGACTTTCCTAAGTAGTGTGCAGATAAACAGATCACTAAAATGTCTTTGGCCCAGTCAGACTACCGTCTAGTGAAACCTCTTCAGAGTTTTCTTATTGCTTTAAAAAAACCAAACTTACAGCTGATGGCCCTTCTCTTTCTTTCAACAAATGTCCTGTTGCACTGAAGCCCTCTCTTAACTAGGCAAAAGAGCCCAAGAGCAGTATGATAAGTGATATTCATGCCTATGTGTTTTATTTGCTTTTGAACAAGCTAATTAACTTAACCTCTTCATATTTTGAAATTTTTATTGAAAGATGTTTTCTAGATGAAAAACAATTTCTAGCTAAATAACACCCCAAGTGTTTCAGTATCTTACAGCAATACATGGGCATAAAATAGACCTTCCTTCCAAGAAGAGTGACGAAGGAAGGGAGGGGTACAGAATGTTCTTTCTTTCTGCTAATGTCATGGGAGGAAGGGGAGCCGGTACAAGGAGAAAACCTAAAAAACAGTTGTCGGTTATTGTTTTTACTGTTTTTTAAAGGAGCATGATTGTTTTTCCTTTTTAGAAGAATGAAACAAATGGGTGAAATATTTTTGAATTCCATTTTCCTTCCATACAGATCTAATCATGAGCTTCGGTGCTGTTCATGTGCTTTTATACCCCCCCTTTTTCTTGCATCCCCTAGAAGCAGTATATTTAATATAGAAGATAATCCTTTCTGTATGTACATTGTATGCTGATAAAGCAACTGTAGGTTCTTACCAAGGTTTTGCTTATCTGTTCTAGATAATTTGTGCAATGGAAAATTTCACAAACACCTGCAAGACCTGTTTGCCCCACTTGTGGTTAGATATGTGGATTTGATGGAGTCCTCAATTGCACAATCCATTCACAGGGGCTTTGAGCGGGAGTCATGGGAACCAGTCAAGTAAGAAAACCTTTTTTGATACCATCGGAGTTTGGGTGCAAATGGCTGGAGAGTCATACAGAAATGGATTAATGGTGTCTTATGCTTTTTATTGTTAGCATGGACAGAGAGGAAACACTGTACATGTTTCCAACTGTGATGCTCATACTGTCCTTGTCCAAAGCAGGGGAGGTGGGAGGAGGTTAAGAAATGTTTTATGAAATGAAATCTTTGTTTTATTGAACAAGATAAATAAGAAATAAGGGATATAAACTTGGCTGTGATGTTTGTACTGTGTATCTTACTCCAGTGGTGATATCCTTAGGAATTAATGTTTCCCACAGTGTGTTCCATAGGGGTCTAGGCAAGGGGTCTGCAAACCTTTTCTATAAAAGGCCAGATAGTGAATATTTAGCCTTTCAACTACACAATCTCTTTCACAACTTCTCAGTTCTACCGTTGTAGTGAAAAACCAAAAAGAGACAAAAAGCAAATGAACAAATGTGGCTGTGTTCCCATAAAACTTTATCTTCAAAAACAGGAGGCTGTCCTATGGGCTATAGTTTGCCATTTCCTGGTCTAGGCCTTTGAGACACACCTCAAGAAAAGAACTCCATGGCCAGATATGTTTAGAAAACTCTAGATACCCCACTCATCCACCCCACACACATATCTCCTGGAGAACCACAAAGCACAACAGCATATTGGAAAACCCGGAGAACATAGTCATACAGACCCTTATTTAACTCTGCTTCACCAGGAGCTTCCTAAATGTATTTAGCTACTTTTTTTTCCCCCCCAGGGGAATATCTATCCTGTAGGACCAATGATAGGAAATCCTGTAGGGTGTGAATTTGGCAATTTCCACAATTGCTTAACAAATCTTAGATCTTATTTGAAAATGTCTGGCAGATTCAGTGCCACCTCCGTTTCCCAGCAAGGGGGAGGGCTGTGACTCAGGGCTGCCAGAGGGTCAGTCTCAGGCTCCCCTTTCTAGAGACATAGTAGGCTCCTAGGTGGAGAGAATTTTCTGGTATGGTTTGAAAAGCTCCAATAAAGCCCAGTATTAGCTTTACCCTGTTAGACTCTTTTTTTTCTTTTATGTAAGAAAAGCATTTTGTTCTTTCTAGTCCTTTACATCTTTGGGAAGTAGCAACCAGTATAGAGCAAAATGGGAGCTATGTACAGCACACTTTGAGACACTCCAGAACAAATATTCAAAACTCTTTTCCTCAATTTACAAGACTTGACCTGTACCTTACCTCTAAGCAGTTTTCTGGATTGAGATTCTTCCTCTAATATTTTACTGCATGACTCTAACTGATAAAGAAACCTGTGCAAAATAGCTTTCTCGGTCACCCCACCCCCCCCCATTTCCACGTCTAAGTCACGAGAGGAGTTTCTTGACTTACCCCACTGAGAGCAGGTTAATAGGCAGTTGCTCTTCATTTGCAAGCACCAAGAAATCTAAATTTTATCTTGTTATTCTCAGGCTTATACCATCTCTTAATATGGCCCTGCTGACTTTTAACTCATGAGAATTAAACTGGGTTCCTTAATGACAAAGCATGAATAAGCGACTGTATTTTTTTTAATGCTCATTACATTCAAGACAGTTGTGCTGTAGAGAACATCTGAGAAAAGGAAAAGGTTCAAATGAGTAATGTTCACGTTTTCAAAACAGTAATGGTCTTGAAATTGCTTTTACTTACTTGGGTTTAAACGTGGATGCTGCTACTACTATGGACCACGTGGGAGGAAATGATTTGTATCTGTCACTATTTCTTAAAGGGCCCCAGAGTTAGGGCCTTGCCCTCCACTCACCAGCCAGAAGGCAAGGCTTGAAAACTCTATGAACTGTTTTCTCATCTGTAAAACTGATTTTTTTAAAGTGTCCCTACTCAGTGTCTGAGAATTGTCATGAAGCTCTGTGATAATGTCACCAATGTCATTTTATAATCTGTTAAATTCTTCAAGCAAGTAACTGCTATTCCTCTTGAAGTATTAAATATTCTTGATACCATCAGACATAAAGGTAGAATCAAAATTATTTTCACAATTGGAAGTGTTAGTCAAGGAAGGTTTTTGTTGGGGATTTTTTTTAATGCTTAAAAAATAAAATTTGAACTCTTGGACCAGTAATTTAAAGACCTGAAAATTAGGGAAGGATTAATAGTTGTGAAGAATAACCTGGGAATGTTTGATGCAGATGTTTTTTTGTTTTTTTGTTTTTTCCTCAAGTAGCTTTTTGCTGTCCCAAACTGTGCTATTGGTTAGTGACTGTGATTGTGGTCTGTTCAACTCAACAGTAAATAGTACGTGCCTTTTACAGTACGTAGAGGTATTTGAAAGTGCCAACTAAAACATAAACTAAATTACAATACTTTGAAACAACACGCATTTTATTAGCTGATTTGTAAACAGAATGTGGATGCTATGACAGAGTTAACAGAATGGCCGGCACAAAATGAAGCGTAAAAAGAGCTTGGGCACGTGCTTTTATGTGCTAAGAAGAATGAGTCTCCCTATACTTCCTACCAGGTGAAGAGAAAGTACAAGCTTTTATCTGACTGGTAGGGAAGAAGCAGAGATTCATGTTCCTTTTTGGATATTTTTCCAAGTCAAGGGTGACCTTTTTGTAATTTTTTTTTATTATGCTTACTCAAAAAAAGAAACTGACTTAGATAAATAGATTTAGTTCCCTCAACCTTCTCTGCTCTTACATGTGTCCCTCCAGTACGTACACACACGCATACACACGCATGCACACATAAACTTTCCCTCAAATAATTGTTATACTCAAGTACTTCTGTCCTTCCGTTTTTCAAAAGTTGTGACTACAGGCACTTGATTATAGGTAAAATGACTGAGAAATGCATTGTAAAGCTTACTTCAAGAAAAACTAGCATTCAAGGGGCGCCTGGGTGGCTCAGTCGGTTAAGCGGCTGCCTTCGGCTCAGGTCATGATCCCAGGGTCCTGGGATCAAGCCCCGCATCGGGCTCCCTGCTCAGCGGGGAGCCTGCTTCTC